CCACACCCAACTCATGTTTCCTTTATCTCTGTTGATGTGGCTCAGGCTTAATTCTGCAAACCTGTGTGTTTTGCTAATGACGCATATGCTCAACACACGCTTGCATCATTCCTCTGGTGCGGAGCCGCAGCCTTTGGGGAAGATTCAAGGAGGCACATGAATATTCATTGAAAGTATTTTGCAGCCACGTTTTCGGCCTGTCACGAAAAGAAGGATGCTTCTTTCCTTCCTCCCACGCCTGTGACCTCTGCCGGGGCCCTGCAACACGTTAGCCTCCCCTGGAGTGTTTGAGGACGGCTGGTTGCTTTCGGTCAATGAGCAGGGGAGTGATGCTGCTTTCTTTTTTTTTTTTATTCTAAAAGAGGCTCGTGGTGGAGGTCACAGGCCTAACCTCTGCATGCTTTCACTTCATATGAGGGAATAAATTAGACTTCTACAACTTTATCTGTATAACATGACACCGGATTTAACCTTAAACGGCTCTGCTGCTGCAGCTTTTGACAAACTCCAGGTGAAATGTAAGGACTTGACCCTTGTTGACCCTTTGTCACACAGCCAATCCATGACAGCAGCAGCCAAGGACAAAGATTACATTCACTGCTTGGTTGAGCTGTTTTAAAAGCTGCGCCCCTGTTTGCCATTTATCATTGAATGTACCTTGTTTTCAAAGGATTTCATAGATTCAAAAACAGATTTCTCTGCATCGCTATTCAAAACATCACACAACAGCTTTTTCTCGTCACCGTCATTTTTTTAGGAACTGGAAAACAATCAGTGTTGAAGGAATCATCGAGTAGTTTTATTGCCGTTCCAGCTGGATTCAGCAGCTGATTTTGCAATGTGAAGACCCACTGGAAAAGCTGAGAAGTGATGATAAATGCTGAACTACTTCCTTCTATTCATTTGATTCAAGTGAGAAAATAAAACATAATGGGCATAATGCAAAAAAAAACAAATGAGCGGGGGTTGGAGAGTTCACTGCCATGGATGTTAAATACTGGAACGAGGGCCAAATGTCAAACTTGTAGAGCAGCTGAGGAAAGTACTATAAATACCACACTGAAAACTTTAAGAAACACAAAAATAGGATGTATTTTTCCTGGTAAATGACTATTTGTACCCAAGCAGAGAACTTTAGCAGCCCCTGATGACTTTGCAGTTGAGTGTGACTGTTAAATGTAGAGTGTGGCTTTTCAGATAAGCTATTTTCAACTGAACAGGCTGAACAGGAAATAATATTATCTGTTTTATTTTAGTTGTCACCCCTCATCTGACCCAAAGTCTGTAAAAGGAACCAAGATACAGGAAACAAGCGCTACTTCAATATGCGCATGATTTCTTATCACACATCTGTGATAGCATATTGGAGAATAAGGTCACTTTCAGAATTTATTGTTGTCTGTGCAACAAACTTGGATCTGGCACTCGGTAATTGTGGACTTGGATGTTTTCTTCTTTTACGCCAGTAACCAGAGGCCAGGCTGTATTCCTAGAGGTCATCAAGAAATGCATTTTGGAAACTTCACACTCTGAAGGGAGCCTGTCCAGATACGTAGATTCCTAGTGTATTCAACTATTTTCACATATTTGATCCTGATGCTGAAATATCAGCTGTTAAACAAAATACATTTTCCCTGAATTCCCTTGAAGTCCAGAGCAGAGATCTGGCTAAGACACCAGGCGTACAAACTCACAACATATGAAAATACAACATATACAATCTGCTAAAGAACACATTCTTTATGATGCCCTTAATTTCTAAGAATATGAAAATATGTCCAATTTAGGTTCTTTTGTTGTTGAAACTGCAGAAAGATGTTCCTCAAAACATTTTTTAAAATTTCCCTGAAATCTCAGCGTGTCATCTAATGGTGCCACGAATACTGTGAAGTTCGAGGAGAGCGCCCCCTACAGAGCAATAAAACTCCCTCGTTCCAGATGCACACATCTGCATAGCTGCTTTCTTCAGTGGACTCCTCCTCCTGCATGCTACACAATGAACATGCTATAGAGGAACAAATAAGTCAAAGCACAAATCTGTGTAACTAACTTATAGAGTAAGAACAGAACATGTGGTTCTATAATAAAGTCAGAGATTGATTTCACAACAACTTACTGACTCTATGGTGAGAACAGTTATTCGTGCATGTGGCCAACGTTTTCAGTATGAACACTTTTTCTTCAACTAAATGAAAAAGTGGAAGGAATTAAATGATTATATGAATTTTAAATGTGATTCCAACTCTGAGTGAATATTTTTAATGAAGTAATATCCTGAGATAAGGGACAATGAGGCTGAAATGTCAGAAAGAAACACATTTAAACACATTTACAAATAAAACAATACATTCGCTCCTGCAGTGTAGTGATGCTTACCCCGGTGCTTTGCAAACATTCCTGCCTTTGGGGTTGAGCTCTTGGCTGAAACTGGAGCAAAAGAAGAGACAAACCAGCGCAACAACAGCAGCAAAACAGTTCTTCACTTCCATTGTACAAGCAGCAGCATCCTTCTAGACGCCGTCTTTACTCCTCCAAATAAACTAGAGATGGTGGTGGAGCTTTTCACTGAATTTCAAACACGTCCACGCACATGATCCAGATGCTGGGAACGCGAAAAGCTTCTTTTTTTTTCTTCCTCGAGATGTTTCAAAAAGTCTCGACCGCGACCCCTACGCCATCGAGAAACTCAGCAGCAGCAGCAGCAGTAGCTCAGTGTCTGGAGAAGAAGAAAAAAAGTCACAAAAGCAAAAGTGGAAACTCTTCATTCTTCATCCTGCAGCGCGCAAAGTATTCCACCGAAGTTTCTAAAAGCAGCCAGCGCGCAGAGCTGGTGGATCCAGGCGCATAATGGCACAGAAATCAGACTTGTCCACACAATGTAATGTCCCGAAAGAAAGAAACATCCGGAAACGTGTAAATTGATGATGATAATCTTCACCAAAAAAAAGTAAAATCAGTAAATTAGCTGCCTGTCGCTTTTCTCCTCACCCGATGAGAAGCGTTTTACGCGTAACTTCTGTCCTCTGGTGCGCTCTCAGGAGTGGCAGGAGGGAAATTCCTGATTTGTTACTCTATCTTTGGCTTTGTGCGCCATGTGTGCGCCACCAAATTTACATACGCATGTGTGCAGCAGGGTCCGCTTTAATGGCCTTGGATACAAATTAAAGAATTCTCTTTAACACTTAATAAAAGCAGTTGAGATGGGGAAAAAAAAGTTTTTATATCAACAGAATGATCCTAATTCTAACTTTTATATTGACGTTTTTAAGTGTCTGGGTTTAATCATTCAGAAGTTTAGATTAAAGTTATAAGATGTAGATTATAAGATACTAATTTATTAAAAAGTACATGAATTTAAAGTGGGTTATATTGATGAAGTAAAGAAAGTGCGTATGCTTTATAGTGTGGGTGTTGGAGGGGGCAGGAGTGCTCCAGCATGTGAAACAATGGCTCCCCCATCTGTTAAGAGGAACAAAGTGATGGCACCTCCTGGAGTCTCTCCTGCAAAAGCCTCCTCGAGGTCCCTTTGCCATTGAGTGCAGGAGAAATGTCATGTTTTTTAATGATTGTATTAGATTAATGACGAGTCAGTCAGCTTTGTTGCATTCCACATCTGTCCAGCTGTGCTTTGTGGATCTCCAGGGGTCTATGAGAGGAGACAGGCCCAAAGTAAAGTTATTCAAAATGTTATGATGTGTTTGTAATTGAATTCAACTTTACATCATTTGTGATCCGTCAACAAACGCGGTGCCAAAATTCAATAAAGACAAATGCTCCGACCTGTGTTTGACAGTTCCTTTATTAACAAGTTAATAAATAACAGATGAATAATATTTTCTGATTGTTCAAGAGCTTTTTTTTTCTCAAGTTGTGTGGTTAATGTTCGATGCTGCGCAGGATTAAAAATGTCCCAGTGGTGAACTGTGAGTCCTCAGATAACTCGGATGTTACTCAAGCATGAGATTATTTGCATTAAGAATTCTGCTGAAAGGTAAAGTACTCAGAGTGGTTTGTTACTCATGCAGCCTCCGTGTGAGGCCCGATACTGAACTGGTTTAAGTTTAAAGGCCAATCAGCCAGTTCTTGTTTTTCTTTAAGAAGAATAAAGAACACATATAATTTGTAGAGAACAAAATGACGTGACAACAGTTAACAGGAACCAAAATCATCAACCCATCCAACTTGTGTGTATTTCATCACGGCAACTACCGATGTGACTCAGTGGTGTGTATTGCCCCCACGTGCAGGTATGTATGCTCCCAACAACATCTGGATCAGTGCATCATGGAGCTCATGGACAGTCTGTGGAGGAACCTGGCAGCTTCAGATACACCGATACATAACATCCCATAGGTGCTCTGCTGGGTTTAGGCCAGGAGAACGTGAGGGCCAGTTAATGACATCAATGCCTTCATCATCCAGGAGCTGACCTGTGGAGGAACCCAGGGCCCACCGCACCAGCATGAGGTCTGACAATCACTGAGGATTCATCCTGGTACCAAACAGCAGTCAGGGAAACACATAGGCTATGAGTCATTAAGAAAGTGTTTTGGTTAGTGAAATGGTTAGTTAGTTAGTTAGTTAGTTATGTCTGCTGTGCTCAGTCTACCTGAGCCAGTATGAAGTGGGTTAGTTAGTGAGTGAGTGAGATAGTTAGGGAGTGAGTTAGTTATTTAGTTAACAAGTTAGTTAGTGAGTTAGTGAGTTAGTTGGTTAGTTAGTTAGTGAGTTAACAAGTTAGTTAGTGAGTTAGTTAGTTAATAAGTTAGTTAATTAATGAGTTAACTCTGCTGCAGCTCAGTCTACCTGAGCCATAAGAGAGTGGGCGTGTACTTGTTCAGGGCATTGGCCTGTGATTGGCTGATATACTGTTATGTCACGGACTCTCCACCAACCACAGTGTTACCTCAGTGTGTTTAGTGTGTGTGTATATAGTGTGTATAGTGTGTGTGTGTTTGTAGTGTGTGTTGACATGTTGTGGACCTGCACCATCACTCTGTCTGTGTGACTTCACCTCACATCTACCTCCTCCTCCGCCTCCTCCTCCTCCTGCTTTGGGCCGATGTTTTGTGTTAAAGCTCCGGTCCTCCTGTCGCGGACACCCGGGGCGGACAGATGGCTGCTCTCCAGCCGGATCAGCCTCCGCCGCTCCAGCGCCCAGCAGACGGAGCAGCGGCGGGACGAGGCGAGCAGCCGCGGCCGCGTTCAGCGCGACTCGGCCCCGCAGTGTCCTGGAGGAAGAGACGGCACCACCTCCGCCTCCTGCAGCTCCAGGACCAGAGCTGCTAATGAGATCTCCGTAGACTTTGACCTGACCCGGGAGGCTTATAAGAGCAAAGACTCATTAGAGCTGCTCAGAAGTTTGGTGGTGTTCAAACTCTGCTCCTATGACATCCTGGTTGATAAGAATACAGAGGTAACGAGCTGCTCCTGACCTCAGCAGCCATGAGGACGGTTTGTCAGAGGCTTGTTCACTTGATCATAACATTCGATATAAAAAGGTTAAAGGAAGTCAGTGACATTTTCACAGAGAGAAAGAGCTCAACACTAAAGCAGGTGCTAGAACTGAAGGTAAAAGAATCCATTACAATCACTTATATAGTTCTTACAGTGATAACTCAGTGTTTATACAGAGATAAGCTTGTTTCTGAGATATAGTTGAAGTTGTGTTCAAGGTGAACTAACCTACACAAACACACGTACTGTAAACACTTTGAACCTACACATCTAACAGTTGGAGCCTCGGGCTCCAGTGCACAACACCCACCTCTCAAATTACAGAGTTACATATGTGCAGACTGACGAGACACGCTACCACTGGAGGTTGTTTTCAGCCCGTGTTGGGATGATTCAGTGTGCAAGACATTTACTGACTAGTTGCACTGGATTCTTTCTTCACCGATCACACAATGGAGACACATCCAGCACAAAGTACTAATCAAATCTGGAATTAATCTGCTTTTCATTGCAGCTACAGTCTGTGATTCTTTGCTGCTGTTTACAGTCTTACATGCACATGTGGTTCACAGCCTGGGGTGAGGAACATGCTTTGAATTCCTCCACATGTGAAACAACATGCAGCTCTTTCTCTTGTCCCCATAGTCTTTCAGGTCGAGTCTTTGTCTTTAAAACCATTTTATCTGGGATATTATTATTTACATTAATAAATGATATGTGTAATTAAGTAGTTATAAGCTTCGTCTATAATGTCCTCCTCTCTGTTCAGATAATGGATCTGGGTAAGAAGATTCTGGGACAGAGAGCCTTCAACCAGTTCATGAAGTTGACGTTTTATGGCCAGTTTGTGGCCGGCGAGGACCACAGGGCGATCAGGCCGCTCATCCAGAAGAATCAGGCCTTCGGCGTCGGCTCTGTCCTGGACTACAGCGTCGAGGAGGACATCACCGAGGAGGAGGCGGAGTACGAACGTTTTGCTATCTTGGCACATTTCAGTAAACACTAAAAGATGCTTTGGAGTCTGTCAGTGAAAGTGAAACCTTCTCTTTACTGATAACAAAACTAATATCGAATTACAAATATCAAGAGTATTAATAATCCTGTGCCAAAAATAGAGTTAGCAGGAAGTAAACAGTCGCTCCGTCATGATTTGTTGACCCGGCCCTGGCTCCCCTTACTGGACTGGAGAGAATTTCTCACATGATAGGAATCCTGTCACATGGGGAGCAAAAGGCCGAGCGACTCTGTCCTGTGAGCTGATGAAAAATTGGATAAGAGTACAGACCTAAAGCAAGCGGCCTCTGTAGGCAGCAGCAGCAGCAGTAATGTAGCTTCAGTCTGGCTGTGGGCATTCATGCATTCTGAGTAATTGGGACATCACATCGTCCAAAATAAAAGTTGGACGTTCTGGCCCATTTAAGAGATGCCCCACAGTCAAATAATGGAGTAAAAGTTCTCAAGTGAATCTTTGTGATGTTCATTTCATTAATGTGAAAAAGACGAGTGCACTTGTCAGATTTACTTTGCGCGAACGTAAGAGTCAGCCGGAAAAGTTTGACCTTTTGTATCTTGCACAACGGCTCCGTTTATATAAAGGCCAGACGTAGAGACTAAAAGCTGCGAGGCGTTATTTAAAGCAACTCTCTGCAACTTTTTCACCGTAAAACATCCGTTTCAAACTTTCCTCCTTCACCCCCCCCCCCCCCCCCCCCCCCCCCCCACCCTGAACGTCTGCTCTTGCTCTGTGTAACTTTGATAAGTGGATACTTACCTCCTGTTAAGTGTGGAACTGCAGCTGGAAAACTGGAAATGTGAAGAATTCTACACACACTTTGGTTGATCTGGTTCAACTTGAAAAACACCTCATCGCTCGGACACAGTGGCCAACAGTTTAATCGCCACACGTGGCTGCAGGTGGCGCTGTTGCTCAGTTAAAGTCACCTCGTGTTGTTGCCTTGAGTGAAGTATCCAGTGTTAAGGTCTGTTGCTGCACAGTGACAACTGACTGTAATGTGGCTTTACACCAGACAGAACGTCCTCTATTATTGTTTCATAGTGTGATCACGTCCTGTAAGGCGGAGGAGCTTCCAGGAAAAGCCCTTTGCTGTGACTTTCCCGACCTTTCTTGTATTTGATTTTTCTTTCGAGTAACAAGATATCACCTCTCAGCTTTACGTTGTCTCCGGGATGCCTGCTCGGAAACATCAAAAGAGGCATCAGACCTCAGGCTAGAAAGGATTTCGTTTGGCGAATATACACTTTTGAACCTGGAGGACGGAGGACATTAAGACAGCTTGATCTCAGGCAGCAGCGAGGTTTGACAGGCGCTACAATGATCTGTCAGGACAGCAACAACAACACGAGTCAGCTTCTGGTAACAGAATGAAGATGTAAGGAACTTTGGCAAGTCCTGGTTTGATGTTGAGAATAAACCTGCTCACAATGCCAGCCCTGGGATTCAGAGGCCTTATATATATATATATACACTATACACAGTTTGGATTTGATTATTGCAGGCGTGTGAAGACTGGTTGTAGCTGCCAGCTGCCAATAACCAATATTTTGTGCCATGCTTTCGGGTTAATTGAATTCTTGGCAGTGTTGCAGAAAATTATTTTTTATTAAATCCATAATTGTCACTGGACACAAACGCTTGAACCAGAACTAACAGGTTTATTAGCTCCTGCTGTTTAATGCTACTTAAACATCTGAGATTGGTTTCTGTTTCATTTTTATATTTTACAATTAACCTTTAATTTATTCTTTTAGTCTGAACCGGGCCAGGAAACGTTGAACAATGGCAATCAAGAATTCCCACAGCCCAACGCATCCTTCTTTATCAAGCAGAGAAAATCCTTTTTACTTGATAAATGACTTAATGGGACGCTTCATTTGAGTTGCCGTTAAATTGTTTCATGTCTTCTTTACCGTTGGCTTTGTCCGTCTCTGCCATAACCTTCAGGACAAATGAAAAACACACTGTAAGCTAGCTCCCATGAGCCCACACTGCCTCACAACATCATCAAATTAGGTCTTTCATTATTGTTTTGATTGAGACACCCCTCGCGGCTGCAGTTACATATTCTGCATTTGAATTATCTGCTCATCCGAATCTTTCATAAATAGATTCTCTGTCCATTGCCTAATCAAATTACTACTTTTGACAAATTTCCATTCTACATTTTTAAATTAAAACACTGAATCATCAAAAGTGCAGGACAAGCGTGTATGAAATGTGTTTAAGACAGTACAATGCACGTCAGTGTAAAAACACACCCCAGTTTCATCCACACTTCTGCAGCAGAAGCGCCTGCCCACATGATAAATGTGAAAAAACAAACTCCCTTTAGTTTTTCCTGCTTTGAAACTGGCTGACGTCTGTGATGTCCCGGCCGCTCACTGCTCAGTCATCTGCTTAGATACATGAGCTCCCCGGCGGCTTATGATGAGAGGCGAATAGGTCAAGTGCGGAGTGACGCTACAGCCGCCCTCTCTGTAGGGTCCCGCAGTTCAGCATACACCCATCAGTTGGTTTTTCATGTTGTGTATTTAGGTTCACTGCCACAAGGCCAAACGTGTCCACGGAAAGAATCCCAGCTCCCACAACAACTGCAATAATGATGCAACTTACATTTCTAATATCGCACAAATACAGGGCACACCAGCCGATTTAATCCTGTTGTCTTCCTCCTTCTAATTTCAGCTCATGTGCATCCGCTGCAGAGAAAGAGAGCATAGGTAAGCTGCCTCGTTTTGTTCTCATTCGCGGACACAGTATATGATGTAATTAGAAGAAATAGGCATGCAAATTTGTTTTCACCTTCAGGCGAGGACCACGGAGAGGAGAAACTGAAAGCGCACCAGCAGTTGGAGGAGCGGCGTCGCGGGGGAGTGACTGCAGCCCGCACATATTCCGACAGCTACGAGGCCAAATGTGATCGGCATATGGAAACCTTCATCAAATGCATCAAAGCATCTGGTATGTAAATGGAGAGTGAAACCACACACAGCTTTACAGTGCGTCTGTTTATGCACATTGTGTTAAGTTGTAACTCTGGCTCATATACTTCCCACCATTAACTTGGAAACATTGCCATCCTCCCCCATCGCACCTGTGGTCTGCTTCTGTAATCCACTGCACATTATTACATGCAGCGCAGCACTTCATCATGTATTTACCGTCATGTTCATATTTCTATCTGAATGACTGCAGGTGGGAATTCAATGGACGGTTTTTCTGCGATCAAAATGACTGCTCTTGGACGACCTCAGTTTCTGGTAGGCATTGAGGGGCGGTTAAAGGGTCAGTGTGTAGCACCTGATGCTCTGGTTATAGACCAGACTTCAATTTATCTTTAAATAAAGACAGTTTTTTTTTTTTTATCTTAAAGCTCCAACTCTCAGAGGTCCTGATGAAATGGCAAAGATTTTTTACCTTCCTGGCATCGCAGCAGGGGAAAGATGGTGTGGAAGCTTTAAATCAGAGGCTGGAGCTCAACCAACTACAGGTGCAGTTTGGTTTTCCTCTTTAGCTGGTGATGAATAATTATTTCATGCGATGTTATAAGCTGTCTTTGCGCTTCTTAACGCAGGATGAGTTGTACAGTTTGTTAAGTGCTGTACTTTTTATTTTTAGGAATCTTTGACCAAACTTGGTGCAAAAGGTGATTTCTGTGGCTGGTTTACTGACGGGAAAGACAAAACCTCTGGGTGAGCGAGATCACACACATCCACAGGAACAAACATCTGTAAAATAATACACATTTAAATATAAATACTGGTAAATACTATAAGATGTGAGGATATGGTTGAAATTATACATATCACATAAGTATTATTCATTTATGAAAATACAAAATACATGTATTATCATGTTGATTCATAGTCACGGTTAGTTTTACAGCACATGTTCAATACCGCTGGCTGTTTTTAACTGAATTCAAATTTAGTGAAGATGGAATTTCAGTTGACATCTCCATTTGTTTTCTAAGACCTTGAAAAAGTAAGAAAACTAGTATTTTCAAAACAGGTATTTTTAAGTTCATATTCAAGGACACATGTTGATTCAGAGTAAAAAGGGATTTTTCTTTAATAAGATACTGCCAACGTTTTAAACCCACACTTAATATCTTTCTGTGCTCCGCTCTGACAGAACCATTGACGTGCTGGACTGGAACAGCCTAATAGACTACAGAACAAAGACATCGGACCTGCTCGTTGTCCCGAATGTTCAGGTCAGTAAAATCAAATCCTTAAAATGAAGCGGCAATAACTTGAAAAATACAGTTAGGAATCATATAACGTGACACAAACACATGGAGACAATAATCTACATGCTTTGTAAAATTTAATTAGACTGCAGTTTATTGCAGATGTGGAGTTTGAGCAGCACCTGATTTCTACCAGAGTGATGGAGAGCAGTGATGCTAAGAAGATATTGTTTAATTAGCGCCGGGTGAACAAAAGCCTTAATTAACTGTCATGTCATTAAAATCCGGACAGGTCACCCTCAAGCTATCGGCTGACTTTTTAATACAAGAAGCTGAAGGGTGGATTTAAGAAGACGCACTAATAGGTGTCATGCTGTGTAATATTTGTTTCATTTGCATCTCACTGTGAACAACGTCTCGGTTTGTTTGCTCAGCAAGACGAGCTGGCGCCTCTGCTGGAGAAGTTCAGCACAGAGGAGGAGGAGCAGATGAAGAGGATGTTGCAGCGTATGGACATTTTAGCAAAGGTAAAAAAAACAAGTACTCATCACAGATAAAGATACACACGAGTTATCACGAATGCATTTCCTGTTAATTAGCAAGAATCTATCACGTAGATTTATTTCAATCAGAACAAATATGTTGTTAGCTATTGTGTAAAACCTGAAATATATAAGAGAGAGATTTTTAATATGACCACAACTACTAGAAAAAAAAAACTTTTATTAAGACAATAAAACCCATTAATCTAGTTTCAGTTATTTGGGTCATGTCCCACCCTTCCACAAACTTTCATGAAAATTGGTTCTGTAGTTTTTAAGTAATCCTGCTAACTGACAGACAAACATACTGAGAGCCTGAAGACAGGTGATAGGAACTCGTTTCGACACGATTCACATCTTGTGTAAGCTGCACAGGGACACGTGATTGTTCCCACAAGATATTTGTCATGTGCAAACAAGTCATTCATGAGCACATGCTAATTATCATGTCAGAACGAGTTATTCTCCTGCGCTCGCCAGATAAAAAAAATATCACCTGAGCCTTTAAGGGCTCTGTACATCAAACGACCTGCAATGAAAACATAACCTCCAACATTTAAGCACTGTCAGGTGATTTTACACCAAATTATTGAGAGCTTTCATGTCCCAGCATGCCCTAGAGAATGGTGTTCGCCTGATGGTGGATGCAGAGCAAACGTATCTCCAGCCAGCTATCAGCAAACTGACATTAGCAATGCAGAGGATCTACAACAGAGACAAGCCTGTCATCTTCAACACGTACCAGTGCTACCTGAAGGTAAGAACCCAGCAGCTGGCAGCAGATGTTCCGATCTGTCAATGTTAAACACGCGCACAAATCACGCAGACACAACAACTGTGAGTCTTGTGATGCTGTGACATGTCGTTTATAATCAGATAAGCACGAGTCAGCTGAGAGAAGAAGGGTTAAACTGCTGCAAGGCCAAGAACAGAATCATGCGGGGGGGGAAATTGGGTTGATTTACTTTGCAAATGAAAAGCTGTTAAAGTAAAAGAACAGTTTCATTCATGTGCTTAATATAAACTTTTTACAACTTGATCATATTCAATATAAAATGAATATGTTATCACCTGAAAAATAACTGTTGTGAAGTAGAAACACAACCACAAATACTATTTTTGCATATTTGACTGATGAAATCTGAAAGAGACGCACCAATGTTTTTTTTTCATAATCCCTTTGACATTGTCTGACACTTCATTTTTCCATGGTCGGTGATGCAAGGTGCCTTAATCTAAGTCAGGTCGAATAACGTAGCCCGAGACATGATGTAAAAATAATGCAACTGCATCGTGTTTCATGGTCTGCAGAATACTACTGGACTGACTAAAGCTACACCATTGTTGGCCGAGTTTTGGGAGTTCCCCGGACATTTAGATTGACCCTTTTAGAGACTTTTTCTCAAAATAACTCCAAGCGGAAAACTCTAATGAGTTTTTGGACAAATCTAATCTCCTCTCTGCAGAAGACAATCACTTGTGATGCCAGTGAGTGAGAGAAACAACTCAATCTGCATCTAGTCTGTTAAGTGAGTGACAGAGACGTGGAGCAGCTATTTGGAGGCACCTCATCCCTGAACTTGTGTGGACGTTATTTGCGGAGGTGCACGTGTGAAATGTCTGAAACTGTTGAACAGCACATTAATAAGTGTGCGACTACGATACTGTGACGTTGTCAGTTTTGCACATTTTACCGAGTCTTGTTTGATCTGCAGGAGGCCTATGACAACGTCAGCGTGGACGTAGAACTGTCACGACGCGAGGGTTGGTATTTTGCTGCCAAGCTTGTGCGTGGTGCCTACATGTACCAGGAGCGAGAGAGGGCCGAGGAGTTTGGCTACGAGGACCCTATCAACCCTGACTATGAGTCCACCAATATAATGTACCACAGGTAAGAGTCAGGACTTGTTCTCTGTCTATTAAGTGCTGACGACTTTCCAAATCTGCACCTGAGAAAAGTTTGACCCTCGTGTTACAGAGCCTGAAAACATTTTCCTCCCACCCGTGCCTCTCTGATTTTCCCATGTGGTGGACAGACCTCACAAGCACAAATCTGCTGAAATGGTCAGCACAGGGATTTAATTTCAAGGAAGTTGTCCTTCAATTGGAGTTTGTGGGTCTATCATCTTGTGTCAGCAGGCTGGCCCCCCCCCCCGTCGAGTTGTCCTTGTGCAAATTGCAGAAACCCTCCAGCTGTAGGGGGTGCTGTGTCGTAACAATTTCCTGACGTTCCCACATTAATGCGAGATCAAAGCCGCCACCCTGTGGAGATCAACATGTTTTCGCACAAAAAGAGGAGCGGCCAACCTCCCCGAGCGTTCGATTAGATTTTTAGTAAACACCAGCGTAGGACAGACACAGAGGTTTTTGGCTGATACAGCACAGCATGAGGTGCGACTCGAAATGTGCAGATGGTGGTGAAGTGCATGAATATTAACGAACTCAGGTCCTTCCAGAAAAGATTGGTTCCAATTTATGAAAAATATATTCACTGTTGAAAGATACTTTTGCTGTTTAATTGTGTGAAAAGGTAAATCGTACTTCATGAGTCATGAAAACAGTCTAAGCCATAATATGCACACAATGAGCTGAGACATATTTAGATTTTACACTCAGTAGTAGAGAATAAGTCACTTCACAGACGAAAGGTTTATATTTGTGTCTTGTTTGTGTGTCTGTGATTGTGTGAGGTGTCTGGATTATGTGCTGGATGAGATTGCAATCAACCGAAATGCCAACGTGATGGTTGCTTCCCATAATGAAGACACAGTGAAACACACCATTCGAAGGTACAGTTTCAATTCTTACCAAGGACGCTGTCGAAAACACTATTGATTTTATTTTTCATGCAGCTTTGGATCCGTATAAACCAAACAGTATATGTATCTCACACAATCTCTCTCTCTCTCTCTCTCTCTCTCTCTCTCTCTCTGTTGCACTGCAGAATGAATGAGCTGGGTCTCGTTCCCACAGAGAACAAGGTGTACTTCGGTCAGCTCCTGGGAATGTGTGATCAGATCAGCTTCCCATTGGGTGAGAAACCTCCACACTAACACACGACAAGACGCACTGATCTCTGTACGTTTGACAGATTCAGCGTCAAACCTCCGCAGCTTTGACTCCTCAACCGTTTGAGTGGAGAGGAGTGCACGTGTAGAAGTCAGTCCGCTGCCCACAATGTGACATGTGAACTGAGACACCTTCGTATTGACGAGCTGTCGTAACGGAGCGCTGCTGCCGGGCTCTCAACACTTTGTTTGTCAGTCAGAGGCCGACATGGCAGGAGCAGTGGGTCAATCTGTCAATGTGAGGCTCACGTTAAAACCACCTTGACCAGCATCGATGCAAACAGACACATGTTTCTTTATAGTTTTCTTGTTACTGAAATAATACAAAACAACTATATTCATTGTTTTTCACTTCCATCTACAGTATTTTAAAGTCGTCCTTCATTTGTCTTTTTCACTTTATTTTCTCACTTTCTTGATTCTCTTGCTAGTAATTGAGGATAAGCTAAAATAAGAGTCAGAGTAAAGAGTATAGACCTTGACAAAGCACAGTGTGTGAGCCTGACAACCGCAGCTCCTCTAATTCCAATGCAGCGAGTAAACCAGCCTGATTAGAGGGATGGAAGCAAACACTCGGTGAGGGAAGCCAATCAAAGCGACGTCCAGTTGCGATGAGCTCTCAGGAGTTTGTCCAAAACAATCTGCAGAAAAATATGTTTTTCCTGAAACTGTGATATGTGGAATTAGTCAATTAGACATCACGTTTGAAAATCTTCATGAAGATCTCTTTGGTATTTTCAGACAAATAGAAACGTTTGTTTGTTTCCATGTTTATCCTCATCTAGTCTGTTACATCCCCCATGGGATGACGGGGGGGCTGGAGACAGTAACACATCAAGCACAAGACTTGACAGTGAGAGAAGAAGGGAAATTAAAGAGCTTTATTTTTTAAACTTATCTCAACACAAAGTTTTTCAAAATGTGGAGGAGCAGAGAACGAGGCGGTTGTGCCAAAATCAAATAAAATCAGTAAAACAAAAACTAGCCTGGAATTACCTCTAAAAATCATACAACTTACCAACCTGGCTAACTCGTCGAAAAAGAAACTTACACAAACGTGACAACAACATAATACAATACAATAATGTCCAGCTCATTCAGAAACATGACAAGAAGACAGATCCACATAGTTACTGCTTAAATTAACTAAGAACTCAACTAAGACGATTTAACATGTGCCGACTACAACATGAGAAGTCAGTGATCAGTCAGGAAATGTGGGGGCTGGGTGTGTGTGTGTGCTTTTATAGACTCCAAAGCAGGTGTAGCCATTCTGTCAACGAGGTGGGAGGGGCCAAGCAATGGAAGGAGAAACAGAGCCAGGCCACAACCGACACTCACACGTTCACTTTTCCTTTCACGTAATGGAGAACGCGGCGGGTTTGATTCATGCACAACAACGGGGACGATGTCCAGAACATTCAGGGTGGAGCAGCAAGAGATCAGTGTTTTTGTCAACAGCACAAGATTGTATCTCATCTCCAAAAGCTCTTGAATCTCCCGTTACCAAGTTGAAGTCTGTGTTTTCTACGTATAAGACCTTTGTATTCATTTTGTTGTGAGAAACTTAATCACGCTCCAGTTTGGAAGATGGTGGTAGTGCGACGAAAAGTTGTTTTTTCCAACCGGCATGAAAGAATGAAGAAGTGCTTCTGTGAGACTTCAAGTCTCTTGTAGCGTCACTGTGAAATCGTTCCTTACAAGCGGCAAGTGTTTGGTCTGACGTCTGTGTCGTGATGTCTTAGAAGTTGTTCCCATAAACTGGTAACATCAAAAAAAAGATCTTTCTGAAATGAACCTACAGTTAATCAAATATAACATCTTCAAGAAAAGTCTCATCTGTGCAGACGGATTGAAAAGTATTTCGTTTTTTTTCTGTTTATCCTCTTTACACCCTTGTATTTTTTCTTTTCTCGCCCTCCATCCCATCCGCTTCATTCCCAGGCCAGGCAGGCTTCCCCGTCTATAAGTACGTCCCCTATGGCCCGGTGAGTGAGGTGATGCCCTACCTGTCTCGGAGAGCCCAGGAGAACAGAGGCTTCATGAAGGGCGTCCAGAAGGAGAGGGGGCTGCTGTGGAAGGAGCTGAAGCGCAGACTTTCCTCTGGGGAGCTTCTCTACAGACCGGCGTACTGAAAACACAGGAGAAGAGACAGAGAGGAGGGAGAGTGTTAACGTGTTGGATTTTTTTTTTTCATCTTCTCTGGTTGACAGCTGCTGCTGGGGCTGTCGGTTCTGTCTCTCCCTCGCTGCAGCTCTCCCTGGACGTGTAGCTCGCGATCAAACCTATTCTGGAGTTTCCTCGTTGATGGACTGTTTCTGCACGTCACTCCTGCTCCCACCTCCCCCCCCTCGTCTTTTCCTCGCTGGTGTTGCCCACCCCCACCCCTGCCCCCTACTTACATGTACTGTCCATGTTCTCTCTTTTCTCATCTGCCTCTGCGTCCACAAGCATTCTTCACTTCCTGTTGTCTAAAGAACTCTGGTTTCCATCAAGCTGTTCTTTACTGCTCCAAAAGGACTCTCTAAAATGTCAACAGGACTCTTTTTATCACCCTATTTATCTTGGAGTGGGACAACAGCAATAAAAATAACAGGCTTGATTTAAATGGCAGTAAAGGAAACATCAATATCCCCACTCCTATATTATGTGTTTTTTCACTCTCGGACAGCCGCACAGCTCTGAAGAGGCTTCTCTGTGTTCTACGTTTGTTTGCTGCGTCTGATTTTTGTGTTGCCTGTTTGAAAATGATGCCTCTTTATGAATCAATGAGAAAGTATAAATGCTTCTTCACAGCACATCCCTCTCCTTCTCCTTCTGAGCGTGCGATGCTTTTGTTATTGTATTTGCTGGAGGAAGCTATATTCTTCGCCGCTGAGGTGTTGCGAGGGAACACGACGTGCCGAAGCTCCTTTTTAATACAGATGCCTGCGAGTCTGGCAGGTTGTTTTATTTTTAATGACATGGATAATATGTAAAGAGGGGAATAAGTCAGGGGGCTGCGTTATTGCATTTTGATGCATGGGCACTGTGCGTGTTTTATCTTTTATAATGTAAATATCTTTAAAGCAGATGCTTCTATTTGTTGGTTTTACATGTCTCACTTTATGGACCTGTGAAATTGACGTATAAATAAATGAAAAAGAAGGACTGGATGTTATTGACTGCAGTTTTGTAGCTGGGAGCTATTTGTACTGCTTAGGTTGTTTTGGGTTTTAATTCTGTGACATATTCCGCTTGATTATTGATACACAATTAGTATTTGAGTCAGAGGGTAACCGAGCTTCATGATAATTATGGCCTTGTCATTTTATGAGAGCAGTCAGTGCTCTGTAGACCATCATTTAATTACCCATGATGCTACGCTCAGTACAGATCACAGAAATTGGATGCATTAATCATTACTCAGAAGAAACTTTAGTGGCTGTTAAGTTTTACTGAGGCAAAGCAGCCACAGCTGAGCCGAGTTTAATTAAGAATGAAGTCGACTTTTGATGCAAGATGTGCCTTTGAGTATACGTTTGCCATCAAATCCCTTCTTACACGGTGCCGGAGTTAGCTGCAACAGCAAATATGATTTAGAGGACGCATTATGGTGCAGAAAAATTCTACACAAGTTCCTCAAGTCAGTCGAAGCCAGAATGGGCTCAGCATATTCTTTGGGACTTATCACCACTTCTCCCGACATTAAAGCATACAGGCATGTAATAGTCAGCCGAGGCAAATTTACTTTATGGAATGAATGTTGACATTTTATTACGCGAGATGTGAAGGACGGCATACATAACAGATTTCTCTGGGCTCCTTTGTCGTCGGCTCCACGTAGTCTGACGTCGCGGATTGTTTGTTCGCCTGTGCCCTTGGCTTTGCGATTTCAGCGGGACCACGCAGCGGTCCAGTGCTTTTCAACATGTCCTGGGGACAGACCCTGATTTGCAAACATACCGAGCATTGTTTTTTAGATTTCCAAATTTGAAAAGATTGGTTTTCACTGTAGCACATTGAACGGATTGGCTCGCTGCTGCATTCCAGCAGCCATTTAATCTCTTACCAACGTTTGAGTGCCAGTAGACAAAATGACAATAAGGAGTGCGATGGCTTGGAGCCAGCCAGGAGTGTTGTGTATTTTTTTTAATCTTTTGATAGCAAATTGAGTGATTAGTGGCCTGCGGTGTATAAAAACTTGAAAACTTGGCCTGGGTACTTTTGACTGAACAACGGGAATCATAACCAAAATATGAAATGATGCTAAAACTATATTTCACTGCAGGAGAGCTGGGAAAATAATAATAAATCACATGTTTTCCATGTTACCCCACGTCCGTCACTATTCTACAGCTATGGCAATGTTAGTCTTATACTCACTTATTGACCTTTGGCCAATTCACCTCAACTCCAACAGGAAAAAACAGTTAGCTACTTTATCTGTATCCATCATCAGAAGGAGTATTCTGCAGATATGTTGGTTTAAATCACTTGGTTCATGTATAAAAAAAAACTGGAATACATTGTAAGAAAGGACAACAATAGACAGTCGACTGCGTTTCCTGATGTTGCAACATCTTTTCTACGCGGCCAGTCAGCGTGACAAGCACAGTTTAACTCATATTAGCATCATTGCAAATGAAAGACCTGTCAATACTTTACAACATCTGAGGCTCACTGGGCTCTGATGGCTAATAAGGGGAACGGGTTGTGAACTTTGTGCAAGACACTGAAATTTCCTCAGTAAACTAATTGGCCACACTTGACAAAGATGCTGCACGTAAGAGTCCTAAAACCCAGGATTTGATTTTGGCTCCCTGATCACTTACAGCACTAAGTCAATATGTTTTAATGGTTTGATGCCCAAAGGTCTGTGGTTGATACAAGATAAATAAACGTCAAGGTTTTAGTCTATACGAAATATAATATAATCATTAACTACATTCAACTGTTGATTCGCTTTAAGGCCGAAGAATGTTTGTCTGCTGCAGGAGACTAAAACATTCAGTAAAATAATGAAAATATATTCATGGGCATTTCTGTGTCTCTGATATTCTTTGTTCATGTAGCCTCAAGCTGCATGTCTTGCACATGAAGAACCTGAGATATGGCTGCATCGTTCAGGTTATTTTCAGGTGGCACCACTTGTTTTGCTCAGGGAAGTTTATCTCTTATGACAAAATATATCAATAGCTTGAAAAGCTGAGATGAGAAGCTTCCTCTGACCCAGAATTAGCACAAGCTGGTATAAAACCACAGATGCATTGATGGATGGACAAATCATAAAAAATATATTAGATTAAAATTTGCAAATTACCTCCCTGGCATATATTAAAATCCTCACAGTGGACAACTTTGCATTTCAGCAGTTTTATTTGACTGTGAATGTCTCCAGCTGTGTCTGCACTGCTCATCTACATAATGTGAAACCACTGCAGCCGTGCTTCACATCACCACCTGTCCCAGCAAACCGTGTTTCGGGATATTTCACACAGAAACAGAAGCTGACTCATCAAAACCTGTTAGTCCTGCTGAACATGTCACATGTTGTGAACATGCCACACGTGACGCAACAGCTTTGTCGAAACATGCATTTTGTCTGCAGTTCTCCTTTAGGCTCTGTCATATGGCTTGTTTCCATTCATTACAGGGACAAATGGAGGGAATCTGTGTGGTTCATCATCGCTACTTAGTGAGGAATGAAATGAACGGTTTAGCTAAGATGACCTCAGAGCCTGGACGCAGTGCTGCACTGAGGGAATCCCCCTGGCCGCTGTAAGCTCTGATGTGAACCACTGAGTAAACAAATGAGTCGTAAACACAACAGATGGGACGGGCGATGACTAATCTCATCTGTCCTAATAGTGCCGCTGAACGCAGCACAGTCAGGGCCTGAGGGAGGGCAGCGTGGAGGGCGAGATTCGAAAGTTTGTGTTTTTTTTCCGTTCTGCAAATTGTCAAGTGAGCACGACGGAAAACACTGTTATTTCACGAAGCAACGTGTGACATGGTGGCGCCTTCATGGGTGTCATCACAGCGCTATCAAACACAAATCACTGAAATCATCTGCCAACTCTCTGGAGTGGATGAGCAACGTCACTTATCACAGGTTTTGTGATTTTGAGGGATGGCTGAAAAAGGTTCAAATAACATCTCACGCGTTTCGCACGTTGCTGAAATGATGTTTTCCTCCCTGCAGTCGGCCTGTCACCACCGACTGGTTTGTGTTTTTAACCATTTCGTTTGGCGCCGAGTGAAGCTGTCCAGGAAGAATTAAAAAGCACAATGCCCAGCGGCCTCCCAATCCGCTCCCTAAAAGTCACCGGTTAAGGTGGACGACTGGATTTCTCACAGGCTGCTGTTCCCTCCAACACACAAACCTTTTGTTCTGTGCCTCTGAATGGCACCCATGTATTATAGATCATGAAACCACTTTCATCTCATCTCTTTGAGATTCATACTGTTTTCCCTTTGAAAGCGATAAGCACGCCGCAGCACAAATGTGCCGCGACTGGATAGAAAAAAAAAAAAAGAAAAGACGAGAGGTTTCTCTGCGTGTTGAAGAGGAAACTGCTTAGAGAACGCCTCAAGAAAGTAGCAGAGCAAGCAATTGTCATATCTACTGGCTAAACAATCTGATTCTCACCCGACGGATTCTATTCACCCTCTTTGCCCACACACACATGCACACACTTATACAAGCATATGCACATGCAAATATACAGACGTTAGATGGGGGAGACCTGTATGCACAATCACAAATTCATTTCACCAGAGGCTCAGAAACACACACCCTGTCACACACACACACACACACACACACACCATCAGTTCCCATATCTATCAGTCTGGGGTGAGAGATGATTTGAAGCGGCTCAATGTTTTGATCATTAGTTTGGACTCATGGAGTGCAGCAGCAGGGAAAAATGAGACTGCTATCTCACGGCCACCTGTTCTTTTAATAAGAAAAAGAACAATTCCCCATCACAGGATGGATTGGCTACTTGATGCCGGAGGAAGAAAACCATGTTATTGTGTGCACACTTGGTTGAGTGTTGATTTTTTTTTTCTTCCTGCATTCGTATACTGACTTCAGCACTGCCTTCATATGTCTGTGGATATATTGTAAATACACACTGAAGCCAGGATAGCGGTAACAGATAAATCTCACCGGAGAACAAAGATCATAGATATGTGTGAATGCACCAGGTAGAGTGCAGGCTTCGGTTTCTGTGTCATGAATCCTGCACATTTGTCTGGTTTTCAGAGGCACAGATGAAACGACACCGTCGCCGCATTGTGAGGATTTTATTATAGCTACATATTAAATTTAGAACACAATCTCAAAAGTTAATCATAACAGTAATAATAGTTTATCAGACTTTTTGATCTGCAAGTAGGTCAGACATTTACCAGTTTGGAAAGTTTGCAAAATGATTTGAGCTCGGTTGAAGTAAACTAGACTAGAAATATGAAAGAAAGAGGATTGAGGCTGAAGAATGGGCATGAAAAGAAATAATAATACAAAATAAATGTATTCGTAGATTTAAACAATGTTAAGAGCTAATGCAGGAAGTGACCTAACACAAAATTATGTGTTTGTCCAAATTAAAATCTGGATCTTGTGGATGTAAAAGTAGTTTCATAAAGGCACTGTTCTTTTAAAGAAGCTAATTTGTACCAACCGCATTTCTCTGACTTTGGAAAGAACGAACACTTAAACCTTTGGAATTGAACATGATCATCTGGAGTTTTTGAAGAATTGAAATTGTCTATTGTATTGTTTATACATTAATTACCTCAGGTAAGTTACTTATAAACACAAGCAGCGTGTGAGCATTTGTCTGTTTGGATATGACAGCATGTGCTCCTGTGGCGTTCTGTCCAGTTCCTTGCATGTGTTATTGGATATGTCCGTGCACGTGTATAAAGAGTAGCCTGCTACCAGGCACACACTGCATGGTGCTCCTTGGTTTGTGGATCTAATTGTCATGCCAGAGCAGTAGGAGGAACATCTACCCAACCGGTGATGCTGAGATGAAAGCACAGCAGCCACGCTGGAGCTCTTTCTCCGCTGCTGCTCTGCGGCGAGCAGGCGAACAGTGATCGACCAGACTGGTGTTTGGATTTGCTGAAGGTAATACTCTGGTACTTTTGGGAAGGAA